ACGTGGCAGCATGAACAAATATGTTTGAGATCACAGGGCTGTATGGATTTCATGCATGTGATGTATAGACAATTGCGACTCTTATCATCTCATGTGATTACCTTCATGAATGTGCCCAAATACATGTAGTTTGGGCTGAACTCTCCTCTGGACAGTGTTCAACAGCTCCATACAGCCAACACGCTGCATCTTCCTGGGCACCCAGTCCAAAAAACCTACAAAAAGGTAGTATAATGACTAATATGAACATCAAAAGGCAAAGAAAAAGACAGAAATATATGATGTTAGAACAGACAATTTGGTTTATTTACGCTTTTGGAGTTACAAGCTGAACAAATGCCAGATGTACCAAGTTAGGGAAGAGAATCATAATGAATTTAAAGACTGTAGTTCTGATTCCACAGTGTTTCATATTCTTAATGACGTTTTGGCAATTTTAAGGAAGAAGTAATGGATTTACAAAGTCACCATAACACAACATCTTGCACGTCCGAGGTGCTAATTTAAGAACTCAACAAGGGTGAAGTCTTGACTCACGGAATTTTAATTAGATGTGACTGGACGCTCTAGGAAGGTTACCAAGCAACTTATGCGTTAACTAATTAATATTCATGAGCTAAGCCTTAGCCATAGGATTAGTAATTCATTTTGATTTTTTTGATTTATCTTTCACAATTAATTGCGTGAGTCCAAAAATGTTTACACATCCAAAACCATGAAGTTTGTGAAGTTTGAGTCTAGATTTCAAACCAGTTCTTGATTTCAAAACCTACACTAAGTATAGAGCGAGTACATGATTTCAAGTTAAAGGTGGGGTAAGCGATTTTTCAAAAACGCAATAGAAAACTGATTCGGGCCGAGTAGCAAAACAAACTTGTAGCCAATCAGCAGTAAGGGGCGTGTCTACTCATGATGTGGAGGAGAGAGCGTTCAGTGCACAGCAGAGGACGGACAAACAAAAGAGGAAAACGTCAAAGAAGGCTTAAGGCAAGAAGTAGGACCCGTGTAAATATCGGATCAGCTTTCCAGCGCTGGAGAGAATTCAAGGATAATGAGTTATAATGAGTTCTATAGTATTTTGTCGTGCCGCGCCACTCGCGTCCGGTGTAGACACGGTGTAACATTGGTTTTGCTTTGTTTCACAGAACTAATCGTTGCCTGGGTTGCGTACGTATGTGTGGGGTGGAGCTATCAAAATAGGGGCGAGACCCTTTTGGGGTAGGGGCGTGTTTGTTTTGGTGATTTCAAATGTCAACATTGGCTACCAGAAATCGCTTACCCCACCTTTAATGATCTCAGTACACAGGACATATTCTTACATCCATCTGCACTGTTTTTAATTATTTTCATACGAAAATGAAAATTTATTTGAGAAGAGACTTACTCTTATATATGAATGAACTGAATCTAAAATGATCATTACAGACTTAATTTTACAATTGTAGTCTGATGTTTACACATACATAATGCACAGACTCGCTGTGATCTTCAGAGATGTCATTTGGGGCTAATTTACAACACTATGATAAACACCCACATTTGCACAAATGTATAGCGAGACACGTCTTTACCATGAGAATTACACATTGTCACAATCTCAAAGCCCAAAAGCTTAGTGTTTTAAACCGCAGCTGTCTTTATGCACAAACTTCCGTTCTCAGTACATATGACTGTGTGTGTGTGAAGGTTTTATTATGTGCGAAGGGATTTGCTGCACTGCGAACAGCGTCTCAGTGTTGCATGCTTTAGCAGCCTGCTGTAGCAACTCCATCTGCCAAAGCCTCAGAGCAAAAGAGTGTGCGTGCGCGAGGATGAAGACAACATAATGGGGAATAACCATTACTGCATGCTTTGTGTGTGTGCATTTATGTGTGATTTAGGTCTTACCCAGAGGAGGGCAGTGTGTGAGAAGAATATCTGTGGAATCTGGGATCTGATTCCACTTGTCCAGCAGTGCTTGTCCTCGTTGAAGATTAAAACCCCAGCCGTAGTACCATGGCTGCCTGAAAACATACATAAAGAAGGAAAAAACACAGTTAAGACCTACTGATGTGACCGTGAACATTACTGCCAATATCTTCCCCTGTGCTTCACTGATCTTTTACCCAGACTGCTCTACCGCTGATGAAAACAAGATGACATTTCCATTAGGATCTGTATATGGAGAATCTGTGAAAGATCTTGGGTCTATGATGATGATAAAATAACAGAAAAACCCCCCCAAATCACAAATAGCAATCACTTTGATCTGGCATCTTTCTCACATCTTTTACTAAATGTAAGCGGAAAAAAGAATTTAAATAGGAGTGAAAAAGTCACAGGTTTCAGGCCAGCTTAGATTGAGTCCTCATCTTTTTCTTTCCCCCACTGTCATCTCTCTACCATCACACTCTAAAAAAGGAGGAGAGTAGGGATGATTTGAAAAGCTTGGTTCATGAATATTAATTAGGTGATGTAAGGTTCGCCCAGTAGTCCAAACTGTGCGTAAAGGCTGGTAAGTGGGCGGAAGACATAGAAGGATTACCATTTGTGCATTTCTTCAGCACACAGCAAATGGAATCTTTGTCAGAGGTTTCTACTTGGTCTTAACGTCATATAAACAAAAAATAAAATAAATTTTTTTTGTTTTAGTTTATTAATTCAGCCCTCTACGAACACCTTGGCAATTGAATCGCCATTGGCTAGTACATTTTTTTGTTTACTCGCCAGACTGATAAATATATACATACACATATACATATATACACACATATACACACAAATACACATACACATACATACACACACACATACATACACACACACACACACACATACATATACAAGCGCCAGCCAATGAGATTGCTGTTTGCGCATTAGTTCCGCCCACTACCGGAGAAAGCGGTAGTTCTTAAAAGCTGAAGAATTCCAAAGGAACTCCGTTATTTTGACAGGAAAATACAACAAAGAATATCGTTTACATGTAGCGCGCATAGGTAGCGCGTCAATTCTCTGTCTCCCTCTCTCGCTGCGTGTGTGTGAAACAAAGCGACGGCGAGTCGTGCGCCTTCACACTAGAGTTTACGGTACGTCGCGCGTTGCCCATCCATTCAGATGAACTGAAAAACAGCAGAGATCGCTTGGCGGAGAGTGAAACTCTGAAGCGCTCAGTCAGAGTGTTCGGCGAGTGAAAATAAATCTTAGCTAAACTTATACTTAGCCTCCAACTCACACACTGGCGAGTAAAATCTGAGAATTTATTAGCAATTGGCTAATATTAGACATCATTTAGTCGCCAGAGTGAAGATTTAGTCGCATATGCGAGTGATTTACTCGCAATGTAGAGGGTTGTAATTAGTATGAACATCTTAAAATATTACAAATTTAATATAAAATAATAAATTCATTAAAATAAATATTGTAGAATGATTTTATATATATAAATATATTTTATATTGTTAGAATGGTAACACTTTAGATCAGGGAACACTATTCACTATTAACTAGTTGCTTATTAGCATGCAAATTACTTGCATATTGGAAGTTTATTAGTACTTATAAAGCAAATATTAATGTATGACCATATTCTAGATCCCTTAACCCAACCCAATACCTAAACATAACTACTATAACAACTACCTTACTTACAAACAATAAGCAGCAAAATAGGATTTATTAAGGGGGAAAATTCTTAGTTAATAGTGAATATGTGTTCCCTGATCTAAAGTGTAACTGTTACATTTTATTAAATTTTTTATTAAATATATATATATAGAGGAAGATGGATAGAAAAAAGAGAAGTGGAGGAGGAACAGAAAAACAAGAAGAAAGAGAAAGAAACAGGTAGAGACAGACAGTATGCAAGGATAGAGAGGTTGTTGCCTATGCCCCATCACTTTGATTGCAGATGCACCAAGCTTGAGTGACGGTATAGAAATTAACATGTCACTAACAATCTGTCCCCAGATCCATCTTCCTCTGCTGTGGCAGATTTGCACATTTATGTGTGCGAGTATGTTGAAAGACTATTGTGTGTGTGTGTGTGTGTGTCAGTTTACACATGAAGGTTCCCTTGCCTCTACGTGGATTTTGTAATTTATAGAGAGCAGTCACTTGAAACGTTTACTTTAATAGCTGGCTGACGCATCAGTGTCCCGCGCTGCAAGCAAACACACACACACACACACACACAGAGCCTTTGAGGAGCGATCCAGATCGGCCCTGGGTTCATCATCTCAAGAAGGTCAAGAGGAAAGACGGGCAAATGCTATTTTCATTTGATTTCATCTGATTAATATTCAAATCACTCCTATCATCAGTCTAAACATTTATCATCAAACATCTGCAGGCCCACGGACGCAGTCTGATTAATTCACATCTCTAATCTTAAAACATTAAAATGGCCTTTGCACATTGATTGTGCTATTTAAATATTCATTTTCATCTTTACACGGACGTCTCAATTACACTGGATCGAGAAAGGACTCATTATTGGTGTCCCAAACAGATTTTTCTAACTGAGCAGAGAGAGGTTAATAAACAGAAAGAAAATTAGAGAGGGAGGGTTGTGTGTGAACACAGACAGAAAAGGAGATGCTGTGAAAACAGCATTAAAATGTCTTAAAAATACAAGCAATTATGTAATTCAGAAATTCTGATTTAGTTTAATGGAGATTTTATCAAGCCAAAAGATCAGAAGAACATGTGCAATTCCTTCAAATGGGACAAGGAACGACTAGTATACTTGATGTACTAAACCATCTGTGTATTTATCAGTTCAGATGTTTTTTCATTTGTCAAGGTGAATAGAAAGCAAAGACAGCTGTTTGTTGTCATGCCTTTACTCCCATGATGCCACATCAGCGCAAAAGCAGAAGAAATACTTTGCAAACTAAATTTTTCAATTTCTGAAGCAAATGTAAAGGGTATTTGCCCACACAAAACTCATCACCACAGTGCTAAGGTGTTCAGAGTGGTTGCTAGTGTATTGCAAGGGTGTTGCCAATTAAAAAAACATTTTTATTCATTTTTTTAAAAATTATTCTTCATCTTGTTTTATTAGGAACCACTAATAAAAAGCAAACCTAATCGGATGTCTGTTTGTCACCACTGGCTTTAAAACAGTCTTGGGATGAAGTAGGGTTTGGGTCGAATCAGTAAGCGTGTGCAAGTGCAAAACCTCTCTTGGCCAAATGATATCGGTGCAGTTTTGCCATAAATCTTTAAATGCATGGCTGGGGGGAAAAGGCTGTGGGGCGACTGTGCTTCAATATTTCATCCCATTGGTTAACTTCAAGGATTTTAAAGGAAGAGAAGATGGGAGTTATTAGAAAATCTCTCTCTTTTTTTTTTTTTTTAAAGAATGCATTAATGTATCTAATTCAATTCTTGCTGCTGGTAAGGTGGTGAACTTTGAATGGAAAGATAAAATGTGTATGAAAATTGGGAAGAAATAAATGGAGAAAATGGAGTAGAAATATTAAAAGTGACATTCACAGATCAGTAAAGTTTGTGCTAACAGACCTGTTTCTAGCAACTGTTTGGTTACCAACATTCTTCAAAACATATTTTATGTTCCACAGAAGAAAGACAACGTGAAGGTGAGTAAATGACAACAGAATTTTCACTTTTGGGTGAAGTATCCCTTTAAGTTGCCCACTCTGTGAAACAGTTTTCACAATGCCTTAAAATGCTGCCTTCATAAGCAGCTCACTATATTTTAGAGCATAGCAATGCATACCAACACATATACACACAAACACACACAAGCTATCTGCAAATGAAGAGAGCTTTTGTTCAACATCCTCACCTGGCTGCTGTAATTACAGATGTTGGTGGTATCTTGACCCCAATTACAGAGGAGGTGTACACATTATTCTGTGTGTGCGCACATTAAAGAGAGTGTATGTGCATGGCACAGAAGCAAGTATGTAAGTGAATAATTAGTAATGTGACGTTTCTGACACTGACCCAGATGTGTGCATGGAGAAGAAGAGGTTGGGAATCTACAGGGATAAGCCGTTACATCTCTGAAGAGTTAAGAGGCAACATCAGACAGCCTCTTTACCGTGCACACACACACATAACCTCATTAAGAGAGTTTCAATTAATAGTTTGCGGGTCACATCAGCCCACTGAGATTTACCAGCACATAAGAAGTGCTGTCAACATCACACAAGCGCTCACTTACACTCTTGTACTATGAATTAACTATAATAAAACTTTTCATGACATGAAAACATTTCTGAAAGAAATGGCTTGTTAAACAAGTAAAAGTAAATAAAATCGAGACAAAAACACATTAATTGGTAATATCTCAAATGACTATATCATTGAGAATAAAAAACAAAGAAATATAAATTCACACAAAAAACAATGTAGGTTGGGACTTGATTTTATCCTTTGGTTGTTAAGTAAAATAAAATAAAAATAAAATACTAAAAGTATTACCAATTAATGTGTTTATTTAATTTATTTTATCTTAGTGAATTAAAAAATAACTATAAATTTAATGTAGGTCAGTTGTTAAAACAAAACAAAACAAAACAAAATAAATATCTCAAATGATTGTATCATGGAGAATCAAAAATAAGTCAATACAATTATATAATATATATGAATGTATGAACTGTTGACAGTAAGACAAGTCACATGCATTTGAAAATAAACAGTGAATTTTAAATTTCATGCCGACTTTAAAGATTCTGCTTTAACAAGAGGGTTG